ACCAGTAAAATGTTAAAGAGAAGGTGCTTTCAAGGTAGCATCATAATTCTAGATTTGTTGTAGGTTTTTGAGCAGGTTAAGAAAGTTATCTTCTATTCCTATTTTGTTAGAACATCATTTTATCATAAGGGTAAAATTGTATCAAATACTTTTTTAATCAATTGAGATGATCATGATTATTCTCCTTTAATCTGTTAATGTGATGAATTCTATAAATTGGCTTTCTTAGATGATTAAACGCAATGCAGTCATGATATATTAACTATTTTATTATTTGACGAAATTAATTGTCTAATATTTTGTTTTAGATGCTTGTGACAATGTTAATGAGTGAAAGTGGTCTATAATTTTTCTTTCTCAAACTTTCCTTACTTGTTTTGTATGAAAAATTATACCTCATGAAATAAATTAGGAAGTAGTCCTTTACTTTTTACTTCTCTTGGAAAGTTCATGTAATATTAGGATTCTTTCTATAGGATTTTGCAGAACTTCCTGGGTTAGTGTGTAACTGTACAAATTTTAAACTATTGACTTAATCTATTTAATGTTTTTAGACCAGTCAGGTTTGCTTTCTTTTTTATTTTTTAAATTCATTTTTCAAAATTTCCTCCTATTTTCTTTCGCATATCTGTAGTATCTGTAATGTTCTATTTTTTATTCCTTATATTCTTCATTTCTGCTTTCTCTCTCTCTCTCTCTCTGTCTCTCTCTCTCTCTCTTAAACATTTTCTCTCTCTCATTTCTCTCTCTCTCTTAAACATTTTATAATGTTATCAGTCTTTTCAAATATACAACTTTTGGTTTTGTTGATTCTCTTGTATATTTGTTCTACTTAACTTCTGTTCTTTCTTATTTCTCAACTTATTCTGTTGTTCATTTTCTAACTTCTTAAATTTTGTACTTAACTTTTTAATTTTCAGCCCTTCTTCTGTTCTTATATTAAGAATTTAAGACTACAGTATAAACTTTCCTATAAGGAACACTTTAGCTTCATATACACATACGTTCTTATGTTGTTCTTATCATCAGAGTTCTAAATATGTTTTTAGTTTTAACATGACTTTTCCTTTGATCTGTAAGTTAGGTCTACGTGTATCGTATTTTTTAACCTGTGGGAGTTTTCCAGGTTCCTTTTTGTTGTTTGCATCTTGGTTGATTGCTCTGTGATCAGAGGATAACAACAGTATGATGCCAATACTTTGAAATGTCTTGAGACTTGTACAGCCTATAACTTAGTTTTTATAAATGTTCCACATTGCTTCTAAGCAACATATTCAGCATTTATTAGGTTCATTGTTCCATACATGCCTATTAAGTAAAGCTAATTTATTGTATGCATTAGTTTGCTAGGATTGCCCTGGCAAAGTACCACAGATTGGGTAGTTTAAATGACAGAAATTTGTTCTTTCACAGCTGCAAAGGTTAGAAGTCAGAGATCAAGGTAGCTGGATTGGTTTCTTCTGAGACTTCTCATCTCTTTTCTTGTAGCTAGTCATTTCCTGTTACTTTACATGGTGTTTCCTTTGTGTCCAAATCTCTTCTTATAAGGACACCAGTACTATTGGATTTGGGCCCACTCTACTTCATTTTAACTTAAGTACCTTTTTAAAGACGCTATCTCAAAATATGGTCACATTATATAAGGTACTGGGAGTTAGGAAATTTTGAGGGAGACACAAATCAGTTTATAACATGGTACTTTTCAAATTCTTCATATCCTTAAAGATTTTTTTGGTTGCTTTCATCAATTAGGTACTAAGAGAAACAGTCAAATTTTCCACTGTGATGATGGATTTTTCTATTTCTTTGTAAAGTTCTCTCAATTTTTGCATTATATATTTTGAGGCTATGTTATTAGTGTATATAAATTGATAATTTTTACAACTACTTGGTGAATTAAATATTTGATTATTATGGAGTTACCCTCTAGCTCCAGCAATGTTTTTTGCTTTATATTCTATTTTGTCTGTTAAAATACAGTTACATTTACTTTCTTTTCATTAATGTTTGTGTGATAAACATGTATCCATTCTTTTACTCTACTTTTTATCCTTATTTTTTTTATGTGTCTTTTGTAAACAGCATATAACTGGGGTTTTAAAAATTCGGTCTGGCAATATTTTTGTTTTAAATAGTATTAAGCCCTTTTGTATTTATTGTAATCAATGGTATATTTTGATTTTTCTTTTACTTTTTGTGAGAGACGGTATAAAAGTAATCTTTAAGAGAACAGACTTTGAGAAATATTGCCTAGGTTTGAACACCAGCTCTATTATTTACTACCTATGTAACCTTGGGATAGTTACATAGTTTATAGTCTGTGCCCCAGTTTCTTCATTTTTAAAATGGGTATAATAACCTTACCTCACAGTGCTATTACAACTGTGAAATGAATCAATACACATAAAATGGCAAGAACAATCCTGAGCACATAAGTGGTATTTACATACTTTCTATTAATATATATATGTATATATACATATATATATATATATATATTTTTTTTTTTTTTTTTTG